TTCAAGATGAAAACCCAGATGTGACATACTCAGTTGCTAGATTTTGTGCTGCCTGATGGATATTCATCGAAGGATGCTTTGCTCCACAAACTAGGTCCAAAATGCAAGACCTGTGTTCTTTCACTCTTCCTCCCTTATAGTTGCTTTTAATTGTTGGCCTTGTTTTTATCTTTTATGTGTGATATAATCACCTTTTAACTACTAGTTTTTATCCCTTACCTGTTTTAAGTCTTATGCGTTCAGTTTATGCATATGTTTTATCTTATGCTGGTCTGTGACTGAAATAATGTTTGATACTGATATTATATCTTTTTTCTTATAATATTTTTATATTTTATATTTTTAGTTGTACTTCTTTCCTCTTTCGTCTTTTCACTTTATTTTCTATAACTGAAATTTTATTAATAAAATATTAATAACAGAAAAATGATGTTTTGGTTTGCATATTGTTTTAGAAAGTGCAAATTAGGTAGATTTGCCCATAAATGTGAACTGAACCAAATTTCTCCCATCCCTAATAAAAATAGAACTGATTGGACAGGATGAATCCTGCAGTTCAACAACAGCCAAAGTTGCTGACTGTGCAATATTGAGGAATGTGGGGATGTTTTGCCTCATCTAATATATGGATATGTGAAGCAAAAACAACCTCAGGGGTATTTCACTGTAGTTTCCTCCTCTCCCACTGTTACATTATAATCTGAGGAATGTCATGCAACACAGAAACTTCTATACTAATCCGAACCTTGGCATACTTCCCAACTCTGTTATGCAAGAGGAACCTACTCCTGAAAGGAAACTTTTTGGCTGCAAGACAGGGAAGAATATCTGCCCTAAATATTCCTGTGCAGAGTCATGCTGAGTTTGACTACATGATTCAGAGCCCTGTTTGTCAAATGATCCTTTCAAAATTCTGGGAAAGCTTAATGTGACATTCATGGAGGGAACTACTGTATACTAAAGCAAAGTTTTGCATGCACTGCCCAGGGTTTTTTCTATGCACAATTCATTGTTGTCGTTTTTCAGAATTTCTGTAACAAACATAAACAGCAAAAGAAAAAAAAGGGGGGAAAAGCATCACATCATTTCATAATACCATTAAGAAGATTATACACAAGCAATCAGAGTGAAGAGGAATAAAAAATGAGTGAAGAAAGTAGAAAAGGGTCTTTTTCCAGGAAAAAACCTCATTTTCATTATAAGAGTTGTCATAGCGATCCATAGTTAAATGTGTCCTCTTTATTTGCTCTTCAAAATATGGCAACCCTAGAGAGGGGATAGACTCTGGCAGAGCCCACATAGTGAAGAGATCACACAATGGTCCTGGATGTAAGTTTCAGACCTCACGGCATATTTGTGTGCGCGCATGCATGCACTCCTGAAGAAAGAAGATATTTCATATGAAGCAAGGGAAGAGAGATATTCTGTTTAATTTGGGGCAGGTATGGCATCACCATCTGTACCTTCAATGTTACCCCACAGAAGTGGCTGGACGGTGAGAGCAGTAGTTTGAAAATGGAGATGGAGAGGGGAGCTAAGGGAAGTCTTTGGTGGGGGGAGGGGTGGGGAAGGGGGGAAAATAATGTAATTGTTTATTTGGATTGATAATTTTTTTGTTGAAATTGTCTAATAAAAATATATTAAAGAAAAGAAAAGAAAATGGAGACGGAGGGAGCCCCAATGCCATATGCATATAACAACAATGAGTGAGGAGGCTGTTGAAGGGGTTGACTCACTCTGTGGAAATATAGGGAGCATTATGTATATGGGTCTCCGTGTGGTTGGCTGTGACATGGATAAAAGGCAACTGCTGTTTCCTAGTCTCTGGAACCAGAAACTATGGCTCCCAGTTACTCTAAGGTTACCAGATTTTTTTCAATGAATCCAGGGACACTTTTCAACTTCAATGGATTTTGTATGGGGACTGATTTGTAAATCCAGGGACTGTTCCCAGGAAACGGGGAGGTCTGGTAACATTAAATTATTCTGCATTCAATTTTCCAGTTTCCAGTGCTTTTAAGCACATAACTTATCCACAATGCATATCCACTTTTATCAAATACTACTGTTCAATGCATTGTCTTTCAACCAGTTCACATCGAATGGAGTCTTTAAGCCAGGTTCCACCTTTCGCGCACATGTGTGCGTGAGACCTTGCCTGGGTGCCGTGGGAGGAGGGGGAGGCGCGGAGATCGCTTTCCCCACGCCCTGCTTCAAAAGTCGAATCGCTCCCCCCGCCCCTTGCTTAAGAGGCGGTAACTTCGCCTGCCCCCGGACTCAAAGGGCTGCGGGGAATCGCCTCCGCTGCTCCGAGCGGGGCGGGGGACACCTTCCCCGCTGCCCCGCTCGGCAGGGGTGGAACCCTCAAGTAGCCGGGCGGTGGGGCGGGAACCTCGCACCCCACCGCCGGGCATCGGAACGATGCCCCGATGCCGGGCGTGGGGCGGGAACCTCTCCCCCGCCGCCCGGCATCGGAACGATGCCCCGATGCCGGGTGGTGGGGCGGGAACCTCTCCCCCCGCCGCCCCGGCATCGGAACGATGCCCCGATGCCGGGCGGTGGGGCGGGAACCTCTCCCCCCGCCGCCCGGCATCGGAACGATGCCCCGATGCCGGGCGGTGGGGCGGGAACCTCTCCCCCCGCCGCCCGGCATCGGAACGATGCCCCGATGCCGGGCGGTGGGGCGGGAACCTCTCCCCCCGCCGCCCGGCATCGGAACGATGCCCCGATGCCGGGCGGTGGGGCGGGAACCTCTCCCCCCGCCGCCCGGCATCGGAACGATGCCCCGATGCCGGGCGGTGGGGCGGGAACCTCGCACCCCGCCGCCGGGCATCGGAACGAGGTCCTGGACCTCTTCTGAAGGCAGGCGGGGGCAAAAGTCTTTGCTCCCCCCGCCTGCCTTCCCGGGACAGCGGAGACTTCTCCGCTGCCCCGGGCGATCTTAAAATGCTGGCGGGTGGGAGCGAAGCGTTCGCTGCCGACCCCCAGCATTTTAAAATCTCCTCGGGGCAGCGGAGACTTCGCTCCCGCCCGCCAGCATTTTAAAATTGCCCCGGGACAGCAGGGGCTTTTAAAATGCTGGCGGTCGGCAGCAAAGCCCTCCTGTCCCCGGAGCTTGCGGGGCGGGAGGTGGGAAGAAGGGCTTTTCTTCCCACCGCCAGCCTTCAGAACAGCCTTCTGAAGGCTGGCAGTGGGAAGAAAAGCCCTTGTCCCCCCCCCAGCCTTCAGAAGAGGTCGGGGGACAGACTGTCCCCGGTCCTGGTCTGAAGGCGGTTTCCCTAGGAACGCATTAATTGATTTTCAATGCATTCCTATGGGAAACCGTGCATCGCAAGACGAAAAACTCGCAAGACGAAGAGACTTGCGGAACGAATTAATTTCGTCTTGCGAGGCACCACTGTACTTTTTATATAGTCAATATAGGCACAGAGTTAAATTTTTTAACATTTTCTAATGGTGGTGTGCCTCGAGATTTTTTTCATGAAAGAAGTGTGCCTTTGCCCAAAAAAGGTTGGGAAACACTGCTTTAAGCTACTCCTACTTTATCTCTCACCAAGGTGTGAACACCTTTGCATAGGATAAAAGTATCTCCACCCTGTGAACGCCCCCTGGTGCCAACAAAAACAGAAACCAATCTGACCCTAATGTACCTGTTCTGATGTAAACTGCTAGGGTGGGAAAGAGCTGTGAAACAAACAAAAAACCTCATTGTGCTCTAAGGCGGTAATGGGAGCACACCCTACATTAGAGACAGTCAATTACAGTACTAGATCCTTATCAATGACAATAAGGTACAGCCATCCTCTGCTCTTAAAAATATATACAGTGTTGAAACCAAGGGCCAGAACGTCTTGTCTTTTCTCAGCTATATATGGAAAGTGGACAAAGATAACACAACGGCTGAAAAACGTTGACCTCTTGAATGTCATCTCAGATTATGCATATCCTGATTTTGCTGAGGGACAACACTCTTTCTTGCTATTCTAAAAACCACAGTACTTCCAGTTCTGATAATCTAAAATAGTTACCGTACCCAATATTCTAACAAAAGCTGCAAATTATATCATTTTCACATAGTTCATGTTCCATGTCTAGGTATACCTTGGGCATAAGCAAATTTGTTCCTTGCTCTTATATATATATAAGATGCTCAAGATGCTGTTTCCTTCTCTGAAGCTGTCACTTCTTTGTACTGATCTTACACTTCTTTCCACAGGCAAGACAAGTACCCTTTAGCTTATGCAGCTTCGGACATCTTCCTAGGCAGCATTTTGGCCCTTCTCAGCAAACTTTGGGATGTACTTCTTTTTCTCCAGCAACCCTAAACACATTGTTTGGCTAAACTAATTTGTAATACATACTTTTGCAAGCAATTTAAAGCAGCTAATCAATCAATTCACTACTGAAAAGGTTAAAATAAATGAATCCTCCTGAACAATCCAATCAGAATAATTTCATAGGTGCATTAACTTTATCTGAGATTCTGACCCCTACATTAAATTTTGGGAGCTGCAGCTGCCAAGTAAATCCTCGCACAATTCAATGCAAAAGGAAGAAAGGATGTTTAGTGTAGGTTGTGTGTATACAATTTCAGGGTCACAAACAAGGTATCTATGTCCATTCTATGCTACAGTAAGGAATTTCAGACAACCCTTTCCCATATAACTTGTGTAAATGATGTCTCAGGGGGCCTGCTCCATTCATGCATTCAGATCCCATCAGAAGGATTGAACTATATAAACATTTCTGTGCCCTGTAGAGTACAGGGTCAGATTTAAGGTGCTGCTTTTGACCTTTAAAGCCCTTCACGGCCTAGGACCCTCGTATCTACGGGACCGCCTCTCTCGGTATGCCCCATGGAGAGCCTCAAGGTCCATAAATAGCAACACCCTAGTGGTCCCGGGCCCTAAGGAAGTTAGATTGGCTTCAACCAGAGCCAGGGCCTTTTCAACTCTGGCTCCGGCCTGGTGGAACGCTCTGCCTCATGAGACCAGGGCCTGCAGGATCTGATTTCTTTCCGCTGGGCCTGTAAGACAGAGTTGTTCTGCCTGGCCTTTGGCTTGTAGCCCTGCTTTCATGTTCTGTATTCCCATGCTGTGGAGATTCTAATTGCAAACTTGCTAAGCTGTCTGGCAAATCATGTATTCCAGCAGGACATTGCTTGTAATAGGCATGCAACTTCAGAACACAAGATATTGTCACCCAATGCAATATGGTAGGAATGCCAGAAAAACCTTTATTTGTTAACAAACAGAAAACAAACAGAAAACAGCAAGAAATGATCAGGCAATGAAATCCCCAGCAGGTGGCGTCACTTCTGCCACAAAAATATAGTCAACTTTATTATTATCCCCATTCATCAGAAGGGAATCTAAAATGAAGAGATAACAGCTAGCCAAAGAAGCCACTCATTTGTTCTCTGACTCACATGGAATTTAAATTCAGTCACTTTACATAATGATTTACAATCCAGTTATAATCAATTACTTAGATTAGAGGCTATTTGTTCCCATTGAAGTCTATGAAGTTAAATTATCTTAAATCCATGCTAAGGAGTTGTGAATTAAATCTGCACTAAATGCTCCAATACTTGTACAGAATTTCAGTGAAGATTAACAGAAGATAGTGCTTTTCTTTCTTGTGATCCAGAGATTTGGGGATTACAAAGGCACACTTTCTTTTGCTGCATTACTTGTTCAGAATTCTGCAGAGCCAAGCCCTTCCTCCCATGCCCTGTATTTCTCATTCATCCACCCTCCTACCCATTTCCCATTGCCACCATAGCTAGTCCTTTAGGTCTCCTGATTGTGACCGACATTCTCACCTGCCCCATGATATTACATTCCCCATCCCACACCTATTTCAGTTTAGCTGAGGTTGAACCTGTGTATTCTCTGTACAAGGTTTTTTCTCTGCCCACTTGCTCCTCTGCACGTTTTTCTAGGTGCATCTCATGTCTTCCCCAGCAGGAGCCACAGCATCGCTGGTGGATGTCACACCAGCGTTCCATAGCACTCCTCTCCCTGGCAGTCTTCACATGGATAAGTATCTGGGATAATGTGAATCTCCGAAGTGAAAACATGTGGCTTGTTCTCAGGTCCTGGGAAAGTTACCTGGAAAAGAAATGGCAGTTCTTCTCAGTATGTTCCATTGCAAAAAATGACATGGAGGCTGCATTGAAAGTTTACAGCACAGGCATATCTAAGAAATAATTCTTATGCCTTACATTTACATCAGTGCCTTAGGGCAGAGTACTTCATGCTTTCTCAAGTGGCTGGCTGCACAGCATTTTTCGGTCTCTTGGTTTCAAGTAATATATGAATACCCAGCTTTCAGGCATGGTAATCAGAAGTTGATGGATCATTCTTAGAAGGATAAAATGAGTGAACTAGACTGAATGACAAGCTAAGCATTTGGTACTTCCAGTTTTTGCCTTGAGTCTTCTAGATAGTTTTATAGCACCTAAAGAATTTCTCACTAAACACAAGCTGTATAAAAGCTTCATCTGAATCCTGAGGTGAACATTCAAACTGTCAGAAACAAAATGAGAAAGCTCTCCAAACTGTTAAAAAAATTACAAAGACAATTTTTATCTTTTACATGCAAACAGGGAAAAGAAATATCCATTATTCTTGATTTTGAAAGGGATGGAACCAATAGCTGAGGTCACTGGTACGTGATGTAGACCAGTATTGTTTTCTCCATGCTACAAGAAATGTAGGAATGAAGCAGAAGAAACCATGGCTTGATTACACCATCCAGTGAATTTAATGCCTGGACAGGGGTTTGGAAAAATATTTCCCGCTTATAGCCCCTGAAGACAATCACTCTGCTTTAGCAGTGCTTCATCTAAGCCATACTTAATGAAAAAGCTGCAAATGCCAACCTTTTTTTGGGTTGGTGATGAAGATTTGGTACTGGAATGGTGTGGACAATGTGTGATCTGAAAATCATAAACCAACGATGTCTATCCTGATTCCTTCTTTAACAGTCTAGTACTAATGTCCGTACATGACATTCCATCAGTTCTGGTGCTCAGTACATCCAGATATTGTGTGTGTGTGTGTGTGTGTGTGTGTGTGTGTGTGTGAGAGAGAGAGAGAGAGAGAGAGAGAGAGAGAGAGAGAGAGAGAGAATGAGGATCAAATACTAGAATCCATGGAGCTGATATTTACCTCAATAAAAAAGCCTCTCCATCCCAATAGTGGCTTGCTCATTTCTGCCATATAAACACCATTTTCCTGCAAAGAGATGAGATAGAAGAAGGCACTGAGAAGTGAACAGGAGTTCTTGCATCACATTGCACTTAAGAAATTCTAGAACATTCATTAGTATGAATCTGGAGAAGAGTGAGGTGAGGTGAGGTTCCTGGTTCCACTGTTTCAAGGAAAGACAACAGAGGAACAGCTATGGAGCCAGTGCTCAGTGGGCAGGATGGGGCGGAGGGTGATCCCACTTTTCTTCCAGGTGAACCTTAATCATTTCAAGTTTCGAATAGATAGAAACTTGTCCCATTTTGTTACACAGAGCAGGCTCTCAAACCAGCATTACAAACATGTCACACCAGGGAAGAGGAGCCTCAGGCCCAGGGACTAAATGTGGCTCTGAAGACTTTCTATATGGCCCTTGGGATGTATATGGATGTTTTTAGAAGTGAGGTATAAAGAAAATGTTGTTTTCCTCATATCTCCCTGGGCAATGCTAGATGGAAATTGTGGAAATTGGCTCTGTTGGGCTTTGAAATGAAACCATCCCATGGACTCCCCCATGGGAAAGACCACGTTCCAGCTAACTCAGATAATGAAGGAATCCTATTTGTGTTACAGCAGGGTCTCTCCAGACTGTTGCACATGAACCTCTGCTCATCCAAGGGGAAAGCAAGAGCAATGGGCATTCTTGGGCAGCCAATCACTAATAGTAACCAGCAGGATCCTGTGCAACACACCTCACAATTGTCTGAAATGAATGCACTATCCTGGGGGGGACACCCCAGCATTTAGCAAATTTGCAGATATAAGGAAATTCTATATCTCTACAACAGAAGCCCAGTTTTGTGTGTGCGCGTTTGGAGTGGGGAGACTTGGCCTCTTCAGCTGTGTGAAGAAATTGAGAAATCCTAAATCACAAACCCTCTTACCACTTTCTCAGCCGCACAGGGAAACCAAGGTATGATTCGTAAACCAGCACTCGTGGACCACCTGAAGTCTCGCCTGTGATTTATATAGGAAAGAGGAGGAATGGTGAACACTGAAGAAGCTACTTTTTTGAGTTAAGTACCACCAAGAATATGCATTAAAATGAAGAAATATGCATTAAAATGCTGGCAAAAAATTAACTGCAAATTGCAGTAGAAGTGAATCTAAGATTTGTAGAAAACAGAAACTAAGTGACCCCAAATTAACAGATTTGTCCATCCTTACTTATCTGTATGTTTATATCAACATTGTATGTTTTTATATCATTTTATGCATCAATACATTATATACACTATTTCTTAAATAATCCTACCTTTGAGAGTTTCCAGTGTCAGCAAAGAAACATTTAATTGCTGAAGGCACCTGATCTGTATATAGATAGATAACACCTTTGGTTTCTGTCTAGAAAGAGAGAGAATGGGACAGAAAAAATCAAGTGCTCCTCAAGCTATTATCCATTGCTATTACTGTCTGCAGGAGACAATTTCCTATAGGAGTATAAGAAGCTGACTTATTCCTTGAGCAGGCACTTCTCTACATGGCAACAAAATTTTCAGTTCAAATCCACAAAGCAGGGTACCAGGAGTCAAAATATGAGTATCTTGCTTTCTCCCGATGGCTACTGATGTCCCTTTGCCTTTATCAGTTTGGAAAAGGAGTTTTTTTGGGGGGTTGGGGGGGATCCCATACCCTCCAACATTTCTCCAGTGAAAATAGGGATGGCCTATTCTATTTTATTATTAATTATTATATTTATACCCCGCCCATCTGACTGGGTTGCCCCAGCCACTCGGGGCAGCTTCCAACATATATAAAAACATAATTAAACATTCAAAAACTTCCCTATACAGGGCTGCCTTCAGAAGTCTTCTAAAGGTTGTATAGTTTCTTAGCTCTTTGGCTGAGGAGTCGTGCAACTCCATACCCTCCAACATTTCTCTGAAGAAAATAGGGATGTCCTAAGGAAAAGCAGGACAGTCCAGGATCAAATCAGAAACTGGGATGGCTTCTGTAAATCCTGGACTGTCCCTGCAAAATAGGATCCTGGCCAGGAGCTGGCAGTCAGAATGGGTGTCAGGAGAGACTCCTTATATCTTTGCTTGCCTTGGAGTCATGGGACTGTGTGTTTGTGCTCACCTTGTACCTGGCAGTAAAGTTTGAGTGAAATCTATTGCTTTAATTTGAAGCAAATAGTTAAAATGCAATAAAAAGAAGTGTGTGTGTGTGTGTGTTTCACTTTCCAATGTGTTGCTAATGGGAATCCATCAATCACAGCAGGAAATGTCCTGTGTGGCTGCCACCCCCAAGAGCCCCTCCTTGCTGGGGGTTGGGCAAGATGGCCCTTAGGGTCCCTTCCAACTCTACAGTTCTGTGATTCTGAGAGTCAGACCATTGGTCCATCTAGCTGAGTATTGTCTACACTGATTGGCTGCAGCTCTCAGGTGATTTCAGGTAGAATTCTCTCCTAGCCATATGTGGGGATGCCAGAGATTGAACCAAATACCTTTTGCCTGCAGAGCAAATGCGCTACCACAGCGCTATGGCCCTTCCAAGGCAGCTTCCAAAGATTTCAAAGGATATTCAATTTGACAGCAGTTATTGATTCAGTTGGCTTGTGTGAAAAAAGACTGTCTCAGGCCACAGCCTGCATAAAGTCAACCCACACCTTTCAAATAAATTAAGACCCTGGAATTTTTTGTGTGCTTTGCTTCCAAGGGCATATTCACGTTACATTTACTGAACCACATATTCTGATACAGTAATTAAAAAAATAAAATGATAGGAGGCCAGAAGGAAATGTCACAACTTTCAGATATTCACTAGCAAAGCTCAAAGTGAACAAACCACACTCTGAAAACAGACAAATGTCATAATTATTTAAATCAGTTCCAATCAGTTGTTGAAGGACAACATTAATCAAGACTGATTTTCCTATAATCATAACAACCTGTTTGAAATACTGATAACTTCCTAGGAAACTTGAGCTCAACTGAGTGTCCTTAGTAAAGGATCACACTTCATTATAATTTCCATCAATTAAGGATTCCTTAATTGCTCCTGGCTTGATGTAAGTGATAAGACAAGCGTTATGCCTGAATTATTTCTGTCATTCAGTAACACAGTATCATTTTTTTCTTACCTCAGTCAGGTTCCAAGAAACTTGGGGCATGCTCAGATTCTGTATGGTGGCGAGATAAAAGGCTATACTCGTGTCCAAGATAGATAATCTAATCAGTGGGCGTAATGAAATCGCATGGAAAGTGTTTGGGATGGCCCTGCAGGGTAAAAGAGAGGTTTTTGAAAAAGAAATATCTTCCTTGCATTAGACAAAGATGACATGTTCAATCTAATCACAGCTTTCTGATTTTTCCCTCATTGAAAAGAAAATACACATAGAGAGAAATATACAAGAAAAACAGGTGGGGACCCTATTAAAGACATAGTTACCCAGCATATAGAAAAAGAAGGCTTGATGAAGGAAGACTAGCATGACTTCTACAAGCTGCAGCATGATGACAATTTTACAATTTTATTATATACGGTACTAAGAAAAGTTCGTACACAATACATTGTCTTGTAAAATGTGATTTTTAAAAAAGGGGGAAGCAGAGGGAAGAAGGCAAAATAGATCTCCTACTCACAAATAAAACTATGAGGAGCTAGGTATTAATGAAGGTAAAAACAAATAAAATGTTTTAGAGCAGTAGAGATTATTTTTAAACACTCCCACTGTATTTGTTTCAAAATTGCCTTTCATCTTCTCTTAATGGTTCTAAAATCTTATAGCAGAAGCTAGCTTTGCACAGCATGGATTGCTTGGTGTCCATTTGATCAGGATCTCACTCCACAGAGGGCAGAATCAGCTATAAATCCTCAGTTTAGATTATCTCTCTTCACCCAAAACTATCAATCTGGAGTTCAAACTATCTGTTGCCTAACTAACAACCGGGATGGGTTCTGCCCTTCATCTAAAAAAGAGAATTTGGTATTTTTTCCAGTATGAACTTACCGGAAATATTTTTTTGCTGCTAGCTGAGAAAAGAAATTTCGGCTATAATCAGGTAACAAAATTTCATCTCCTGTTGCAATGATTATGTACACAAACTTGTTTAAGTATCGCTCATTATATGCTGGGGATGGAAAAATAAATGTTATAGTAATGGGCAAAACATGCAATTCTCAAGTAATTACTACTTGTTTTATCATAAATCATCATAAAAAGCTAACAAGATTGCACAGGAGTAATGGGAAATAATAGGAACAGAGTAAGGACCACAAAGCCCTAAACAGGTGTATATGTTCAGGGGACAGGATACAGAGATGTGGAAGGTGTGGAAATTGCTGCAGTTCGTATGTCTGTTTGGCTTCTTTATTACTTATTGAATTTATATACCGCCCTATACCCTGAGGTCTGAAACCTAAATCAGTCAAGTGAATGCAATTGGTATATTGTTTGTTTCCCAATTAAAATTAATAAGTTTGATACTTCCTTTGCACAGTTTGATTCTTTCTTTATGTATTTATTTTAACTGTTTAACTAAATTTGTATACCTCTTAACTGCAAAAAAACAACAACAATGAACCAAAAAACCCCACCGTGATTGCTGTAGTTTAATGATGCTAGTAGCTGAATGATGCAGGAAGAAGGATAGAGAAGGAAGGGGAAGGGGACAAAGGGGGGATGCTGAAAGCTTGGGGGGCATGTATTTAAAGGAGGTTGCTGAAGGAAAGCATGCAAAAGGCTCTAATCAGTGAACAGTTTGATTGCATAGTTGAATGACAAAATAATGGATCTAGCCCTAAAGAAGCCAACCTCCTTCCAAATAATGTGTCCCATCCCTCCACTGTTCCCCTCTCCCCAAAAGGTAGGGTGGGTGTCACCAGCGTTTGTCCATCACATTCAGTGCTTTCCCCCCTAGAAAAATAGATGCCGGTACTCACCATGAAGTTGTTACAGTACATATCACACTTTTTAACAAAGAGGGGGGAGTGGTGCTGGTACTGTGTACCCATGAGTACCTCCTGAAAAATAGCACTGATCATGTCTGATTTCCGCTTGGTGAGGCTGGTGGCAACCTTCAGAAGTCAGCAGACGGATGGTCTCTTCCCTTTCCCCTGCACTTGGTACTATATTTGGCATGTTGGTGGTTTCTGCTTAGAATATTGTCAGTGAATACGGGTGTGTGGGAGATGTGTGGGTTTCATCTGGGTGGGGTGTAGGAAGTGTGTGGGTCACATCTGAATGCAGATCTGGACCATCTTGTAGGCAGCCATTTCCATGTTTGCCTGCTTGGAAAGTAAAATGGGTCCAAGGGTGGGAATAAGAGGTTGGCAGAGGTTTGTGGCTGAGGGGTGGGGAAGTGTTGAATGTGAGTAAAAGAGAATAATCTGCACAATGTCTTCATCTTCATGATTTATCTTTCCCATTTAATTTTAACATTTCTCTTCTCACCCCCTCTGAAAGCTGGATGGCTAATATTTGGACCCTGCAGGGGGACCACTAATTGATGGGCCATTAGCTGCTCTGAAGGAAGGAAGAATGGTGACCCACTAAGAAAATTTAGATACTTTAAAAGTGTGAAAGACTGTGGTCTTAATTGACCATAACAGGCACTCTATAAGAAAAAGCAGAGAATACACTGAAATAAATGGTGTGAAATCATGCAGCAATAGTGACAATAATTACAACAAAAATATGAAAAAAAATTCACCACAGTAGACAACAAAATAAATAATTATGTATTTGGTGGAATCTGACTTGCAAAAGAACAGAATTGGCTCTGGTTTTATAGATACAGAACAGACGGGACATTGCTAACTTCATTCTTCCCTTGCAGGATGGAACAAAAATATGACTGAGACCATAGAGCAAAACAATGTTGAAAAGGAAGCCATTCTGTAGCATATATGCTGTTTAGCCATTTGCATCTTTGGTGGTATGTTCCCCAGGTCATCAAGAAAGCAATAGGGGGGTTCCCCAGATCTGCACAGACTGAATACCTCAAGCAGTCATCAGTTTGGCTTTCCTAGATCCTAGACATCACAACTTAAATTAACCAGTCCTACCAGCAGACAGCCAAGCAAATCCACTAGAAGAATGTGACTTCTCCCCTTCTCCTTCTCTCATTTGCCCCAAATTGGTTCATGGGGGTTGGGATAACCCCTGGAATAGCACACAAGGGGAGGACAAGGCAGCTCATTCCATTAGACAAGCAGCAATGGATCAATCAGTTTTCTACTTCCCTCTATGAAACCATCCATTGGCCCCCATTAATCTGGTCCTTTCTCATCTATGGCCATGTCAGCAATCCACGGGAGCCTGGCCTATGACTATTCCTTTATGATGCATACAGGCATTTTTAGGAATGGGGAAAATCTGCTCCTTAACTCCCTGCATGATGACCTCCTTTTCCCTGGGGATGTTTTCCCCTCCTAGTGCTTCATTTATCAGAAAAGTCTGAGAAGGTAAGAACTGCTCACCATAAGGATCAACATATGAATTTAGATTCTCGAACCGTGTAGTGTCTATCTGCCGAGTTATATTCAGCTCATATTCAGGCTCCATGGTATATGACCAGCCACAGTATGCTCGGTATTGATGGTGCAAGTTCTACAGCAAAACAGACAGAAGTGAGTTCTGTGTACACCTATGACTTCACACATAGCACATATCATATCTTAAGAACTTGAAGTCCTATCAAATGGAGGACAGTCACAAGATCTAGCAGGGCCAAGCTGATAAAATTCCAAACAAGACATGCAATTACATCATAGCAGCAACATTCATTATGAGGTCTACCTGATACTTCTACTGATATCTTTGAGGTGCTATGTAAAAGCTTACCCTCTTTTAGTGTACTAAAATTTTGTTTGCTGTATGTGGGCTCCCTAACATTTCTACCACTGTTATGGAGGGGTTGTTCCATATATATTTTATGCATTTTATGTTTTTGTGTAAACGTGTTTATATTTTAATGTATTTTACGTACGCTTTTAAATATGCTACAAATGGCTCGGAGACTTTTTATGTATCTAGTGACCAAGAGCTCATCCACACTTACCCTTTGCCTTGTGCTTTCTAGTCATAGGTCCATGCTATAAAGCGCAGTGCCTGAGCACTTTCCCTGCCCCACTCCCCCCCCCACGAAAACCCACTCTTTAATGCTGAATCAGGACAAACAGCAATTTGGGTTTTCTGTGGATTGGCGTTTGCTCCAATTCAGTAGTAAAAAAAGGGTTTTCCCAGGGAAGTTTGGTGCAAAAAAAGAAGGAAGAAAAGTGCTTGGACATGGTGCTTTAAAGACTGCACCTGTACCTAGAAAAATTGCACAAAAGGAAGTCTGGATGAGCCCCAACAAATCTCTATATTAGTTTATCTCATGGCTTTCTGGTTATTTATTTGGGTTAAGTTGACAACTACCTCTTTCCATCCCACTGATAGGCCAGAATATTCAGAAAATTTCAGTATGACATCTTAATATGGATATTTGTACCCAGGGCTCTCAAGTGGATGCCACTGCCATTTTAAAAGACCAAAGGAGGCATTCATGGTGAATTTCAGCATCTCTTTTTCTAGAAAACTAGCGCTGTTTGTACCTAACCTGCTGGTCATGATACTCAGCTTTGTCTACATAGCATCTCCCTTACATTTATTGTGTAGCCATTCTTACTATTGTTGGATTGTACACAATCCCTGTTACTCTAGTTCTTGAAACCACCCAGGTCACCCTGCATAATAGCCAGGATTGTGGAATTTAATTTTCTGATTCCACAATCGTGGCTATTGTGGAAAGTTTTCTTCCCTCACTCAATAACCTGATGTCTGAGTTCATGAGGCAATGTTTGGAGTCAAATGATTTGAGGGACAGTCTTCACTCATGAGTCTGCCCATCCCCTAAAATTATTGAAGGCCTTACTTGCTTCCCTTTGTCTTCAGCAGTGTGGTTGATGAGGACACAGGACAGGGCCTTTTCAATAGTGATGCACCGTGCTGAGAATGTGGAGTACCCTTCCTCAGGTGTATGGTTCTCTCTCTCTCTCTTAGCCTTCTAGTAAATATATTTTAATTTTTCCAGGTTTGGGAGAAAGCTGCATTTTGCTGTTTTTTAACCCCCAGTTCTTTGGGAAAATATTCTGATTCTCTTGTATTTATCTATATTTATACCTATCTATAAATCTAGTTCAGGGCCACATTAGGGGCTTTTTATTAGACAGTGTCAGGGAACTGCCATCGGAAAGACAGGAGGTGGAAGGGCTCCCTGAGGTTGAGACAGACTTAGCAGCTGAAGAGGGAACCAGCAGGGGGAGAGGAGGGGCTCCAGGGGAAAGTGAGTCGGAGGGATGGCTCAGAGACACTTCCAGCGAAAACAGTGGGGAGGTTTCAAGACCTCCTATAGGGACACCCATTCCTCGCCGGAAACTGTCACGCCGAGAGTCCAGAAGACGTGTTTCCGTTAAGGAGCTTTTATGCTGGAAGAGATTCCGTAAGAGACCACTTTCGGATTCTGCTAGTGACTGACGGAGCCATGCTGGAGGGGCTCCGTCGTAGGCAGAGGTTTGAGGACTTGACCAAACTCTGAGGGACTTGCATTTTATGCACAAGCAGCTCATCATCCCATTACAGACAGGTAGGGTACATTCCTTATAAATAGTGTGTGTGTGTGTGTGTGTGTGTGTGTGTAGTCTTCAAGATCTCTGTAAGCTTCAGCCTGCAGCTGAGTTAGAGGTTGTGAAGGATATCCTGCACAGCCTATCAAATCGAAAAAAATTCCTTCCAGTAGCACCTTAAAGACCAACTAAGTTAGTTCTTGGTATGCGCTTTCGTGTGCATGCACACTTCTTCAGATACCTAGCCTATCAAATGTAAGGGACTGCATTGATTTTTATTGTGTTTTAATGCTGCTTTGTGAGCATCCTTGGACATTTTATTTTTATTTTATTTATTTTTCTTTTCAGGAGACCCCCATTCCCCCCACAGAACATTTTATTGAAAAGGTGGTATATACATGAACGAGCAGTGAAGTTGCCCAGGGTAGCATAATCTCTGCATCTGAAGTCAATACTATTGGCATGTTATTGGGAAGAACCATGCCGTTCTCTACTCTTCCCTACTGTGAAGAAACTGGATTCTCACCTTAATGATATTCAAAAGATCAAATACAAGTGGAGTAAAGGACACAACTCTTCCATCCACAGCTGCCGCAAGCCAGGCAGTCCAGCCACGCTGCCATAAGGAGAGAAAAGAATGAGGTTGCAAAGGTGCACTGGGAGCCGGAGAATGGCAAGTGCAGAAGAAACAAAAAGAAAACAATGTACAGGAAATGTCAAAGGAGCACAGGCCTGCACTTCATACATACCTTAGAAGCACCTATCAAAGAGAACTTTGTGATGTTCATCATCCCACCAGATTCTTTCAGTAGTAAATCTGTTACAGTGTCCATGGCCCGTACAGCAGCCTGTACACAAGAGAAAAGGATTACATCCTCTGGAATTCAAAGGAGATACTTGTTGGCATGGCATAATGATAATGTCATCACCAGAAGGTTTGTCTTCAGAGCTTTAACAGAGCCCCATGCTAATCTGCAAAAGTAATACTGAGGGGGCACACAGTGTATTAATGTGAGAAACAGTACTCATCACCAACTGATGAGTCATTCTAAAAACAGAATGAATAAATCTCACTGACAGGTAACTTGGAAACTACAACTAACCCAGAATGTGGCTTCCAGACTGGTGAGTGGGAGTGGCCTCCGGGAAGCCAGAGTTACCTTGACCATTGGGAACAAAATCAGCACATCTGGCCCTGCAGTCTCATCATTCATGAACTTCCACCATGAGCAAAACAGTTCATCATTTTCCAAGCTGTTCTTGCATCTTTCAATGGGGTATTTCTAGAGGCAAAGTGGATGAAACATTAATGGGTTTTTTAGTGAGCCCAGCATTCCCAAACATGTTACTCCCCACCCCCTTTAAATGCTCTGTATTTCTTTGATTTACACACATCTTTGAGATACAGTGCTAGGGACAATTTATTTTAATTCTAGTATTTTGAACACTTTTGCAAATGGAATGGCAATTTCTTCTCAGAAATTTACACTTTGTTATAAAGAATAGTTCTTTAACAAACTGTAGACTTCTATTGGATTTTTCTCTGTGAAAGTAAATGCCCTCCTCAATAGAGTGTATTAGGAGAAAAAAAAATCTGTCATGGAAGCCTCTGGTAGAACAGTGTGCCAGCCAAGTCTTTCCCCAGCTACACAAAAACCAAAACACTGCTATCCATCAAAATTCACACTTTTCTGAATTGTGTGCAGGATGACAGACACTCACTGTCTGTACTTTTTAGAAACAAAGACATTATTTTGAATTGGATTGTGTGTCTAAATGCGTCTGCTGTTCTCTGTATTGTTTTAAACTGTTTTTAGCATATTTTTTATTAACTGTGTTGAGATCATGCATGAAAAGCAATTAATACTAAATACTTTATTAGTGGAAATAGCATACCAAATGCATAACACTGAGGATTGAGGGCTTTCAAAAATGTGTGCATTACCTGAAATTTCATACAAGAATGTGTACATCAGGATAAATTTGCAATAAAATGCTGGTGAAATTTCATGAGACTTAAAAAAACAAACACAGCAACAACTAAACCACAAAATGATGTGGAAAGATGAATTTAAGAAAAAATGAAAAACGGAGAGAAACCACAATTCAAAGATTTGTCCTCCCCTTTCACCCAACAAATTCCTTCTGTGAAACTCTTAGATGAGAATTTAGAAAAGGGTTTGGGGAGTTCCCAGTATGTGTGTGTGTGGGGGGGGGAAATCAAACAGGACTTACATGATAGGTGATTGGCTGGTTTGGGATCTGCTGCACAAGAGCTGCACAACTTCAGAGACAAAGCAAAGTATTAGTCAACAGTTTCAGTTCTTCAAAGGCAGTGAAAGTGATTCATGCTTCTTGAAAAAGAACATCAACCCAAGCAAATGCCCTCTAGTCTACAGACGTGATGTCAAAGATACCAGAGTCTGCAGTTCCAGGCAGCTTATGGCCTAGTCATTAAATCAAGGCACACTCTATATTACACTCTGCACAGAGGACGCAGAGATTTTATGAATATGCTGTTATGTTGGCGCTGTTTTAATTAACAGTAAATCATGGTCATCATAGTTTCTTAAAGGATTTTAATGTGATAGAATGAGCATAGAGAAACTTTCTTGAATACAGTGAATTGGGTTAGATCACCTTTAGACTATTAACTTTATTTTTAACTGCTTTATTATCTAGCCATTTAGCACACAATATTTTCTCCTCCAATTGCACTCACAGGCTGCAAACATATCACACCTCAAGCTTATTTGTCTTTAATGGTAGGGATATTTAAAATATATCTTTTTTATATATATAAATTTTTATTGGGTTTTTCACATTTTATATAGACAGCACAAACACACAAGGACAAAAACAAACATGTATAATTTCAAATCCTTACTTTCTTAACCACTTTCCCTGACTTCCCCTCACCCCCCCCTCATGCATCCCAGTTCCAATAGTTAGCTCAGCAAGTTCTTATCTCTCATCCTTACAATATTATTATCATTTTTTAACTTTGTTCTTCTTAATTAGCCAAATTTAACTTATACACAACTATTATAAACATTACATCCTTTTCTAAGGTCGACCCAGATTCCCTTCCACAAATTTCCCCTTTTTATATTAATTATTGATCATGATAACTAAACACCAAAAAACATAAAAGTTCTTAAAGTTCTACTCTCATCCCCCCCCTTTCCCGGTTTCAGTCCCATCCAAAAAAAGAATAATTGTCCATAATGACAGTTCTTAGCCTGGATTTCTCACGTCCGAGGCCTTCAAGTCTCTGTCAGTCCCTCTCTGCCGATTTTGTTGGTAGCCCTTTATGTTGGTCAGCAGGTCTCGAAGGAGCTCTATCTCTGTAAAATCAAAGTTTCTTCCAACCAGTCCTCCATGTTCAAAAGTGGAGCCCCAATCATAATTCTTGCTTCTTTTCAGCCCAAATATTCCAAATGTCCCTGAGGCTCCCTCTTTCGTCTTAAGCAAAGTTATAATCCATGAATCTTCCGATCTCCCCAAAAGAAGATCACTCCATTCTTCATTCTTAGCTTCCATCCAAATTTTCATAGACCACATCTTACTTTCCTTGTATTCCACAATTATAGGCTTCTGGTTGGTCATTTCCACCTGCACTTTTTCCGCTCCTTCTTCCCTCTCCTCAGTTTCTGACAATATCTCTTCTGATTCGGCTGCAGAATTTTTCCAGTCAAATCCTTAACACAGTCAACAGAATTGCTTACTTTAGAATTCAAGGTCGCAATCCTTCTAGCCATAGCTGTACTCTGGTCTTGTAATTTTCCCACGAGAAAGAACATTTTTTCAAGCTCGGCCTGTAATTTTCCATCTGCAGCCATTGTAATGTCTCAGAATTCCCCCTAGAGGGATTCTGGTTACTTAATAATCCTTTTCCAACAGTCCGTTACCTTGTTATTTATTTCTTCTTTGTTTCCCACAACTTAAGTTTAAATGTAGCACACTTAATCCGCAAAGATAGTAAATAGCAAGTCTTTCTACCTTTGACAACTCGTTTGACAGCTCCTCAACAGCTGTCAAACTCCTTATGTCTCCTCACCAGGCTCGCTCGCAGGACGCTCCCGGGGTCCGGGGGGGGGGGGTTACACAGCAACTTCTAAAATTCAGCACTTATCCTCCAGACAAAACTTCTTCTGCCAATCGTGAAATTAATATCTTTTATCTCACAAGGAGAGGAATGGTCTCTCCACCTTAGTTATCCAATTCTTGCTTTAGATCATCTGCAGGAAGGGGGGTGCGGACTTCCTTTTAGCACATCCCCCGGTCGTACCGAATTCAAAGGGAAAAAATTTTTTAATCCCAATTCCGTTCTACTCACGGGTTGATTCTTTTCCAGTCCGAATTTTCAAGGAAAAAAGTCAGCGCTCTCCGGCCATGGCTCGCGGCTTCACTCCACTGAAGTAGCGGTTTACTCACAGCACCACGCCACTCTCCGTAACCTCTCCGAAGCCTTTAAAAAGGCTTCTTCGTGGGTCGGGGGGGCGCTTAAGGTGCCCGCCGAGTCACCAAGTCCGCAGGCTTCAGTGCCTGCGGTTTCTAAGGGTCCCCGCGTCGCCGCCGCGGCAGGACCCGTCTCCAGCAGAGCCGATTCCCTCCGGAGCTCGGAGGGAATCCGCCATTAGCCGATCGCGCTAACCCGGAAGTCCGGGATATTTAAAATATATCTTGTTACGACATTAACTTACAAGCCTGCATTGCTGTTTGCTGCGCCCTTGTCTCTCTTGTCAACATGCACATAAAAATTTAGGCATACTATTCATAATGCATTGCCAATGTAACTCATTTCCAATAAGGTCATCACTTCACACTTCACTCCTCACAGCAGTAATTCAGGAGACATTGTGACGTATGTAGACAGACAATAAAACACCTCTGTATGGTTTCATCACCAAAGGAAATGTTTGCTACAAAAACACCCTCAGAGATGCTTTCATTTGTATTGTGCTTCTGTCCAGTTCTCAGTAGGGATGGCACCAACTGCAACATTTGGCTCATATCTTGATCTAGTTCTTCAGAAAACTGCCCACTTCTTAAGCTGCCTAATTTAGCTCAGGGCCCATCTAGTTCCAGTTTGTTTGCTCTCCCTGTCCCTTTTCCCAACTGAGAAATTTCAAAAATGGGTATAACTTTTATTCTTTTGACAGAAATTTGCAGGAATAAAAGCCCCTCCAAAGTGTGACTTTTAAAAAATGACCGCTCCACACATCAAATGTGGTCGAGCGCAGCCCCCCGGATCCTATTGCGGCTCCCGGTAGTTTGGGCTGGCTTCACCCACCTTAGGCTGGATACCTGGAGGTCTCCGCCTACCTCAGCCAATCGCCCAATCCTGCCTGGGGAGGCATTGCCAGGGGATCGGCCAGGTAAGGGGAGGGACTGCCCTGCCCACACAGCAGAAGGTGAATCTTACCTGCGAAGCGTCAGTTGGCTCCAGAGCTTCTCCCACCCTCCCCTCCCTCAGTTAAGTCTTCTTTTGCAGGTTAACCTCTTCTCCACAGGTATGTGCGCGCTGCTACATCATGGTCGCCGTTGAAAGGCCTGCATTGGCAGGTTTTGCCTTTCCCATAGCAAAACGTCACAACTTTGGCGGTTTCAGGCCTTGGGCAGAATCATTTAGTCTATCTTCCTAAATTGGGGGGGGTGAAGCGGTGACCCATGCCCCCCTTGTGGCGGTGATCCCAGTGTTCCCCATTAAAGGGGTCTTGAGGGGAGGCATTGGCCATACGCCGAGAGGTTGTCATTGCTTTCCCCTGCGATGGTAACAAAACCGGGGGCGGGCTCTCTGCTTGAACATATGTTCTCCAGAGCCAGCCCAATCCCTACACATTCTAGATAACCCTGGTGTCCCCCAGAGCCCCAGCTGGGGACTGGGAAGGATAAACGGCCAATGCCTGAGCCAAGGTCTCCCTACATCTGAAACTTAATAAAGTTGGGGAAAATTTTAATCCCACAGCACATTGTCTTGAGTCATTATTCCGCTAGGGGGTCGCCTAGAATTAGATGAAATTTGCTGGCAAGGTCACCACTTCTGAAGGCACCAACACTACCACATTTAAGGAGAATAGGTGCATTGGCAGCTATCGTTGTTTTGGGGTGGGTAAAAAAAGGAATCACTTCATCCAACCTAGTGTTTTGTGGACAGTTAGTCTACAAATTGCAATGGGAGAGGTGTCTTTGGGTAAGATACCAGCCAAATATCTGAGAAATAGATCCAGGGATGTTTATATGCTAGGCACCTTTAAACAATGATCTTTCCATTACAAAAGAGCTCTCCCTTTGCTTTCAACTCACACTGGTGTTATTATTTATATGATAAGCTTAGAGACATTTAGTTTAGCCTTTAGTAGACACTTTCCTGCAGTGTTCTGTCTTTGTATGTCTGAATTGCCAAGGCACTATGAGGCAATTCAGGGGTCCTACTGTTGACATTTGCAACTCACATATGTCTAGCTTCACTTCAGGCAAACCCAGTACTGTATCTTCCCGAGACATCCTTCCTGGAATCAGGATATCTCTGAATCTGATGCATGCCTCTAATTCCCTTCATCACCCCACACCCCAGGAAAGTTTGTTCTAAGGTACAGTCCTCCAGCACGTACATCTGGGCTCAGTTCTCTATCCTAGTAGGGCTACTAATTCCCTTAATAGTCTGAACTGAACACAGTAGAACTAATGACATGCGCAGTGACCCTTCACTTTACTTACGACCCAGTAGATGTTGCTGCATTAATGCCATCATCAGGAGTTAAGTCCGGGATATCAAGAGCAATATCATTTCTTCCATTCCCAATCAGCAGCAAACATGAATCCTTTATCCTTTGGTTCTTTGACACAGCAATGGTCACCGTATGCCACCAGATTGATCGGTCCACTTCGGAATCTGAAAACAGACACACAGAACTGATATTTAGTTAATACAAAGGAAAGAGAGAGTTAGCAATGAAGAAACTAAAGCAAGGACACTAGACTCCCCCTGACAACGATAAAGTTCATTAGGGCATCGATGTTGTTGGGCTCCAACTTCTATGAGTCCCAGCAGTTGTAGCCAATGGTCAGGAATGACAGGAGTTGTTATTCAGCAACATCTGGATGGTCACAGGTTTTCCGCCCTTAAGTTGGGGTCACCATCTTCCCATTCAAGAAGCGGTTACTTCTGCCATTGTCCCTCACTCCCAGGTTGGAATTCACACTGGAACTCCTTTCATTTGTGAGACAACTACTGAATTCCCCCCCCCCCCAGTTTGTAATTGCCACTCTTGCTGCGCCCTGCTGAGGGCTGTATTCACACCATACATTTAAAGCACAATGAAATCATAATTTTTCTCCCTCAAAGAGTCCTGGGAACTATAGTTTACCCCTTAAAGAAGTACAATTCCCAGCACCCTTAACAAACTACACTTCCCAGGATTCAATGGGGTGGTTTGTATTGGTTGTTATTTGTTTTTGTTTTGTAAAGTTCTTGAAGGGTGTGTTGTTGTTTTTGTTTTCAATTAGCAGTATATTATTTTTGCTCCCGTTTTGCCTAATTTATTACAGATGCATGTGTTCTTTGACAGAGAATTCACTGAATGTTAAGGATGCTTTCACGTGCCCTTTTTGGAAATGAATGAGTTGAAGGAGGATCTCGCTGAGGAGTTGGGCCATTTAGCAAAGAAGACTGAAGAGAGGGCAGCTTTGAGCAAAGACTGCACGCAAGCTAGGATGACCATCAGGAGAACAACTTCCATCTACCCTAAGCTGTGTTACCTCTGGCCACCTCCCCTAAGCAAGTTGAGAGCAGACTGGAAAGACGAGACATTCTCCTTACTTTGCAAGAACTCTCCAATATTTATGGCTGTTTAAAACTCATATATTGGATTCCTGTTAGGGTCTCAAAAATGATTCAGTTTCCCCTTCCATAGCCAGCCACAGGCAGACCCAACGATTACCTACTGCTGCTCATGGAATCATAGAATTGCAGAGTTGGAAGGAGCCCTGAGGATAATCTAGTCCAACTCCCTGCAATGTTGAAATATGCAGCTGTCCTGTATGAGGATCAAACCTGCAACCTTGGCGTTATCTGCAACACACTCTAACCAACTGAGTTATCCTGGTTCATGTTTCCTTACCACCCACAGAGCGGATCACACCCACCCAGCAGCCACCTCCCCGGTTTACGTTCCCTCTCATCCTCCACAAAGAAAAAGGGCACAGCGGAAATGCCTTCCTCCGTATTTCAAAACTGCTGCTCTCACCATTCTGCCACTTCAGGGAGGTCATGTTGACGGTATAGACGGTCACGCCAGGCCTGTCTTCCTTCTTCGTGACAGTGTAGTTGTAGTGAGGGTCATACTGCTTGACGTAGTCATCCAGGGCTGTCTGCATCCATCCAGAGGGCAGGCAGGCTGCCAGGAGGAGAACAGAGAAAGCAGCATACATGGTCAAGCAAGTATAGTTGCCTTGAAAAAGAGGTACCTGACTTTGTTCAGCAGCACTTCTCCCACTTCAGATCACAGTTGCTCCCAGCAGGGAAGTTCCACAAGGCTTGGTGGTGTATGCCAAAGCTTTCCTCTAGAGCTGTTCTTTCCATGAATGTCACAACAACTTTCTCCAGTATTTATATAAGTCTTGTAGCAGGGAGGGCCCTGAATCACACGGCCAAGACAGCATTTATGCAGATTGATCTAGATGAGCGCAGGAAGTAATTCTGCCAGTTATTCTTCATTGACTTCCAGTCACAAAGCACCCTCCCACTTATCCATTCAGGCCTGTAGCCAAACTGAGGCCTGTATCTGCTCTGTTTCACTTGCAACATTGGTTCACCCTCCCCCCCTATGCACTTTTTGAAAAAGAGCATTTCAAAAATGGCAGAATGACATCTCCCAGTTAACAACTCACAGCTTCCTTCGAGAATGGAGGGGGAAATGTTTTGAGGAACTAATTAGCAGCAAATGCTCCTCTTCATCTGAAGTGGTGGTAGTCCAGTCTCCCTTTAATTACTTGTTTTCTCAGCATGTTTTAAGACCCTTACCATAATTTTTTAAAATATCCATGAATTATTATGACCATGAGAAGAGTCCTGGTGGATCAGACCAAAGATCTATCAAGTGCAGTGGCCTATTTTTTCACAGTAGCCAACCAGAGTGGAAGCCCACACAAGCAGGACATGAACTGTTGTTTGCCTGCATCATGACTAGTAGCCAATGGATAGCCATTTGTGTAATACCTTTTAAAGCCATCACCACACTAG